TATTTTTCCATCTTCTAAGGTCTTCTTCTATATCTCTCTTCAGGGTTCTGTAGTTTTCATTGTATAAGTCTTTCACCTCTTTTGTTAGGTTGATTCCCAAGTATTTTATTTTTTGGGGGGATATTGTGAATGGAGTAGTTGTCCTCATTTCCATTTCAGAGGATTTGTCGCTGATATATTTTTAAAATATTTTTTAAAATATTTGCAAATACACATGATACTATTCTTTTTCAGAAAATGTTATAGTACAATAAATCATGTTTTATAATTTTTTCATTCAAAGGTTTTCTGGAATGTTTCCATCTGATAAATGTGCATCTCTGTTATCAGGCTAGTAGCTTTGTAGTGTCCATTTTATGATATACTTTTAAAATTTATTCTGGACATGCCCTGACTTAGGTCTACTGGAGAAATTCCCCTCTATCCCTTATTCTGGGCTGCAGATTATTTCTCCTGATATATTCTCCTGCCACCTTTGAGTAATGCCACTTACCTTATCCCATTTCTTGCCCAGTTATAGCCTTGTCCTCCCATTTTGGGAAAACAGTATATGAAGCAAAAATAATTAATTCAAAGGATTCAATGTGACCAGATAAGACATTACCTTAATAGATGGACCTAATGAGCTGTCACAGAATGACAGTGGTTCCAACCTCTCTAAAGAATGAGGTAGAGCGGGAGCACAGCAGTACATTCCTATAATCCCAGTTGCTTGGGAGATTGAAGCCTGAGGCAGGAGGATCACCAGATCAAAGACAGCCACAGCAATTTAGCGAGATGCTGTCTCAAGATAAAAAGGAGATCTGGTCTCAAAATAAAATAAAATAAAAAGGATGTGGATGTGGCTCAGTGGTTAAGTGCCCCTCGTACCAAAAAAAAAAAAAAAAAAAAAATTGAGGTGGAGGCTTAATAGTGATACAGAGGTGTAGATCTCATAATATCCCGTGAGTACCTGGCTTAGTGTATGCTGGATACTGTGTCAGAAACTGAAGACAAAGTCAGGAGCTTAAAGCACAGTAGAAATTACCCCATATCACAGCGTCATTAGATTAAAGCATAACCTATGATTAAAGCTTATTAAGTTACAAGCCAACGTCTAGTCAAGCATGAAAGACTGTCATTGTTAGTAACACTAATATTCTCCTCATAGTTAACCTGTTTGCCTGTCTATCCTACAGGTTTTCTGAAGCTTAAATCCTTATGTCCCCTTTATCATCTTCCATCCTCTCCCAAGCTACTGAATCAGATATTCCCAGAAGACCTCTTCATGTCCAGAGGTCCCCAAGTGACTTCTTATTAACACATTTGTTATTGGAAATAACGTCTACATTTGCTGAGCATATAACACATGACAGTCATTTTCCATATATTGTCATATTTAATCTTTACATCAGCTCTCTGTAGTAGCTATATTTGTTATCCCAATGTTTTGCCAGTAAAATAACTAATACTTTGAAAGATTTAAAAATTTGCTAGAGATCACATACAAAGATTAGACCTAGGATCTGGGGTTGTGGCTCAGTGGTAGAGCACTCGCCTAGCATAAATAAGGCACTGGGTTCAGTTCTCAGCACCACATAAAAATAAGTAAATGAGATAAAGATATCATGTTCACTTACAACTAAAAAAAAAAGTTAGAAAAAGAAAAAAAGGTTCAACCTAAACCCAGGCTGGCCTGGCTTGAGAGCTCATTTTTCTAACCAGTGTGGCCCACTGGAAGCCCTTTCCCACCCCAGCATCTCTCAGATGGGTATGCTTGTCCTGTCATTCTTTAGAGGGGAGCGGGAGATGAGCCGAAATAGAAGCCAGGAATCCTAAAGACAGAAAATCAGCCCCCGATGAATTCAGTGAGTTATGGTTTTATCTCTAATGATTAAGAACCTTTAGAGAATCATTGCTCTTTTGACTTAAAACACTTCTTTCAACAGAGACAAGAATGCTCGTTTTGAGCTGGAGACCTGGGGACTGCATTTTGGAAGCCAGTTGTCTCTGACTGGCCGGGTTGTGCCTTCAGAGAAAATATTAATGCAAGACTATGTAGTAAGTACAGTGGTTTTATTTTCATTTGAAATTGTTTACTTGAACATTTGTAAGTTTGATCCTTTGCCAGAGTAACTGGGCACTTACAGATTTGTGTTGGGTTTCTTGGTGGCTATGTCCCTGCCCTTCCTTTGTCCTAAGGCTCAGGTCCCCTCCAATTTCCATTTTAGTACAAATTTACTTTCATGGACTTAGTGGCACCCAGTGGAGACGATATAGGTCTGTTAGAAATTAGTATAGTGTTTCAGACAGGCGTGGTGGTACACTCCTATCATCGCAGCAACTCAGGAGGCCGAGGCAGGCGGATCATGAGTTCAAAGCCAGACTCAGCAAAATTGAGGTATTAAGCAACTTAGTGAGACCCTGCTGCTAATAAAATACAAAATAGGGTTGGGGATGTGGCTGAGTGGTTGAGTGCCCCTAAGTACAATCCCCAGTACCTCCCGCCCCCCAAAAACCAGTATTATGTAATTGAACCATATCCACCTATTATTGGCTATTATACTACATGACTTAAAAATAAGAAAGCCATAGTTATTTAAGAAAATTTTGCTAAGTGGCAAAGATTAATTCTGCTAGACTGAGTTCCTTATACCAAAGTTAGTTTCTTAGTTGTTGTGTTCATTGTGTCTGTTAATCTTTCAAAAAAGTAAAGAGCTGTTCAGTTGACGTAAAACTGAAGAAATTCTCACGGAGCCTATTCCCAAACATAGCCTCAAGAGACAAATCATTGCTCCTTCTGGGCTTTAATTGAGTAACAAACCTATTTTATGCAAAAATTGCACGTTATCCTACTTTTCCCCTCTGTTTTGCCCATTTTTAAGGCCAGTTGTATTTCATTTAGTTTACAAGGCTTTCTTGTCCTTAGTTGGTATAATAAAATACATGTCTGAACTAATGTAACTGGTATTGGGAAAATGGGAATATTTTTCTCCTTTCTGTTGAATAATCTATCCAAGTTAACAAAAATTGATTGGAGACACTGAGAGAAAAAAAAACTCATTTTCAAAACAAAGCAAATAAAACAGTAAACCGTTACCCTACTAGGTCAGGGATCAGTAAAGAGAAGTGCAGTTTCAGGTCCATATGTGAAGGAGGACTCAAGATACTTTAAATGATTCATTTTATCATTTAAATATGTGAGTAAAATCATATTTAACAGAACTTTTACTTCTTTTTCATTTTTGTATTTTTTGATGTGGAAATAGGTCACCTAGGGAGAATGGGCATTAAAATGGAAGAACCTGAACCCTAGAGGTAGGGGCTTGCTAGAAGTGACTGTGTCATCAACTTTTTGGCCAATCATCATCATCATCATCATCATCATTAATATTATTTTGCAGTGCTGGGGATTGAACCCAGGGCCTCATGTATGCCAGGCAAGTGCTCTACTGCTGAGCCACAGCTCCAGCCATTGGCCAACTCTTTTCTAAAAGTCATAAAGAAAGATTCATAGGCACATTGTTCTGGGTCTCCTTCCAGTGTTCACGGGACGACAGCAGGGTTGTAGGCAAGAAGAATGTGACTCTCTTCCCACTGTATGTAGTAATGAACCTTAGTTCTGATGGAACTCTCTGTGGAAGGCGACCTGTTCCCTTTTGTTCTCAAGGTCACTTCCTGGTGCTGAGTCCCAGCCTGGCCACTTAAAGGCAAGGCATGATGAAGATGCCTGGTGGCTGGAAATGAGTACTTGGTAAAAAGTGCCCTGGCTGGAACATCAGGACACTAGCATTCTCAATCTGTCACTGCTGCCAGCTGGCTCTACAATTTCTCTCCACCCCAGCTTTTGAGTCTGTAGAACAAGGGAATTATGTTACATACATTAATGCATCTTCTTTGTTCCTAAATGTAGCTTTCCTGCCATAAGGTACAGTGCTAACATCCCTGTAGGGCTTGTCCATTTTAGTATGTTGAGAAGAGTATCAATAATCATCATTTTCTATTTGAGATGTCAGAATGCATAAGGGAAACCAGACTGTACAGCCTGTTTGTCTACGTCACTCATAATAGAGGTCATAGGTTCTTAGAAATGGAAGGGAACATTTGAGATCTTTGGATCAGACATAGCAGAGACCCATGAGGAGGTCTTACCCAAGGTTCTGCATCCAGGGCCTGGCAGACCTGGGATGATTCCCAGATGCCCCCACTCCCAAGAAGCATCTGTGTGTTGAGACTGTGACAATAGTTCTATTCTGTGACAATAGTTCTATTGTGGCAAATATTGGCCATGTTTACACTGTATTTAATTGGTCTCTGAGTAAATTTGTACAATCCTTTCATGATCATTTTCCTCAGTGTCAACCCGTGTCTGCTGCTGATTGGTCCAAGGATATACGATCTTGCAAGATTTTAAGTGCACAGCCTTTGAATAAGTGGTTGCTTTTATGTGGTAACAGAGCAGAAAATGTGATTGAGAACTTTCTGAACTGCTTGAGAAGAGTTGGAAGCCCCATGGGATTTAATGTGGCCTACCCCAAAATGTGAGAATATACTGAATTTTTCTTTGATGCATTAATTTGATTTGGTTAGAAGGTGGGAAGTAACGGCTGACGCGTCTACAAAAGCTTATCTCAATAATGTTCTCTGACATAAAGTGCAACGAAATAGTCATAAGTGGATAGATTTTTGTAATGATTACATCTTTATTAAGCTAAAATGTATTTTAGGTTGATCTGTGTGAAATTTTGTTTTCACATTTCTTCTTAGGCAAGTCTCATGACCTCAAAATCTTTTCAGTAATAGAATAAATCCTTAATAAGTCCATATATTCTCTTCTCAATTTTTTTCTTTCATATCAGTTATTTAAAACTTAAGAACAAATAGGATATTTAAAAATAAAGTTGCATTTCCTGATTTACTTGATAGATTTTATGCTTTAACTTTTAATACAGAAATAGACCTAAAATAAGCATTTCTGATTCTGTTGCTATAACAAGATTAGTCATTTTTATAATATTCTGTTAAGACTAAGTTCATTCATTTTTTTGAACATTTGTTTTATATCTACTGTGTGCTAAATACTAAACTTGTTTCAGGGGATGAGAAAGATGAAGAAAATTGCTTTAATTGAGTAAATACCTATGCAGTCATACTCAAAGTTTAACATTGTTTTGCTTTTAAAAAAAGCCATAAAGTCTGTTAGGCCACACTTTGTTGAACCCGATATGCTTTGTTGAACCCGATATGCTTAGAAAGAACAATGGTTACTTCTTTTTCTTTGTTGTAGTGGAGGTACCAGTGTCCTAACTGGCAGGTTGGGAAGTTAGTCTTTAAACACATAGTTACTAATTAATTACATCAGCAGCACAAGTATTGTTGAAAACTATAGCTATGCCCAAAGTCTCATTTTACACTGTAGTTTAGAATTCTCCTCTTATCAAATCTGTTAACAAATCGCCTGGTTTGAGTTTCCCCTGCTCTAGTTTTCCTTAACCAATGAGCTAATAGAGCAGGAGAAGATTATGAAAGAAGCCACAGTGTGAAGACCTTGGGCTTGTATCACAGGCTCTTTCTTACATGAGTTCAGTGAACAAGCCCAGGTCATGTTCTTCCCTGGCCTTTTTTGTTTCAAAGCCCATGTTTTATCTCCCCTCTTTTTCCCCCCAGTGAGGTATCCATTTACGTGTTTAGATTTTTATGCATAGCTTCTCTCACCTAAAATATTTGCCTAATGATTTTAGAAGGCATGGGCAGGAATAGTGGCTGAGTTGCAGTGCAGGAGTTTGAATTGAAAAAGTCAGGACCATCTAGTTGTTGAAATACTGCTTGAGGCCATTCTTGTCCATCTTAGAATCAGCAGTCAGGTTGGTGGTCCTGCCACCTGCTGGAGAAATTTTAAAAGGGCACTATTGAGCTTTGGGAGAGTCCAATCATGCATATAAAAGAAACTGATTCTTCATAAAGAAACGGGACTTAATGAACCCTGTGTGTGGGAGTTATTTCTGTAGCCTCTGGCCCCCTAACATACTGCTACCTAACTGATGAATAATTGCTGACTGGTGGACTGATTAAGGCTAGATATTCCAGGCTCCAAACAAGCTTCAGGTAATGAGAAGTTCACCTCCCTTCCCCATTATGCAGATTAGTTGAAAATTAAGGTCTCATTGACCTGATGATTCATGAAAATTTTATATTAACATTCTCACATGAACCTTATCTCAGACACTTGATATTATGTGCTTGTGATTTTAAAAGTTCACTTTCAACCCCATTTTGAACAACAGAAATATTAATTGAAGGATTCTTTACAATTGAGAAAATTTTGTTTCCACCAAATTAGTTTTTTGTGCTAATAAAAGTGATTACTAAATATTTTTTGGCATATCTTGTGAGAAAAACAATCTTAGACTCAAGGTTGTCATTTTTATTTAGTTTTTATTTCCCCTAACATTACTAGTTTGTTATGACAATTCATTTGTGGATAAAGATGATACTTCATTGTTATTTTGAAACATTTTCATTTGTTTCAATAGCAAATTCATTCTATTAATAACATCATAATGCTTATGTTCCAAGAAGGGAATTAAATAGTTCATCTTTTTGTGTAGCATAAAAGTTCAAGAAAATCCTTCTGCGTTCCTTAGAGCTATCCAGCAACATGTGGACCCTGATGTTCAGTTGGTAAGTATAGGATACATTTTGGTTTTTGATAAATATTTTTTTTATTTTTTCTTTATATCTGTGGTGTTGAAGGAACCTGAACATACCGTCCCAAATTGTGTTGCAAATCACTGCATTTCCCCCAAAGCACTAAAAAGAAAAAAAATTCATCTCAGTATTTTACTCAATAGTTAATATTCCTATTTTTAACAATTTAAAAATACATGTTTTTACCCCTATTTCAGCCTCTGTTGGGTGCCCCACCACCCTTAGCTTCTGGGTTGCCCCGCATTTCTCCAGTATTTCAGGGGATTCTTTGAGGTTTGGGTCTTCCTTCCTTGCTCATGGTCCCAAGTTCGGGCTTCCTTTGAGTCCTTGCCACCTACTGGGTGTTTCATCTTTCATAAGTGCCATTTCTTCCTGCACCACACCACACAGTGGAACATCTGCTATTGCCTCATTTCCCTAAGTTGTGCTGGAGTGTGTGCCTGCATGTAGAGCTGACTTTGTAGGCTATTGGAAACCAAGACATGATTAGATCATGCTCCAGCATTCCAGACAAGTTAAAACTGGCAAAATTTCTCAGCCTTTCCTATTTCCTGAAAATTTCTACTCTTCTGTTATGCTTCTGCCTGCTCCATATTGCAGTGCTTTTCCTATTCACCCTGTTTCCTCTTCTCACCTTGCTAGCTTGCTCAGCCCAGCCCTCACTACTCCTCTTCATACCTCATGCAAACTAGTGCAGCCATCTCTGCTTCTCCTGTAATCGCAAAAGAAAATCCAAAGGATATTATATTAAGTAAAGAGATTTCTTACCCTATTTAAATAAAATAAAATTTATAGAAAAGTTGCAACATGTATTTAAAAGAAGCCTTTCACGCACCTTTCTAAATCCCTAATTATTGAGATTTTGCCATATTTGCTTTATCATTTCTGGTCTCTTTTTCTTGAAACATTGGAGGGTACAGTGCTCTTTACTCTTGAATTCTTTATTGCATTTAGTGCATTTCCTATGAACAAGGTCAGTCTCCTATACCACCATGAGTCAACACAATTGTAGGAGGAAGAACTATTGAGAAGGGGATTTTAGGGCATTAACAGAATCAGATCAGGAGAGAAAATGAAGAGGAAGGGAAACCAAGGGAAACGGGCTAAATTGGAGTGCAACTCTGCAGAGCCAATAGCTGGTGAAAAGGCTTTTCAAGTGGTATTGATGCATTTGCCAGTGGCTTAAAGGTCATTTAAGGGAACTGTAGCTATGATAGTCTTATTTCTGAGGAACTTGGGGGCAGAGGGTATTAAGACAATCCATGTAGTCATTTCTTAAAAAACTTTTCCCAAACATAATGAAATTGATTTTATCTTCTGCTATGTTTTTTTCTCTTTTAGGTGATGTGTATTCTGCCTTCTAATCAGAAGAATTATTATGATTCTATTAAAAAATATTTGAGCTTGGACTGCCCTGTCCCGAGCCAGTGTGTGCTTACTCGGACTTTGAATAAACAGGGAATGATGATGAGTGTTGCCACCAAGATTGCCATGCAGATGACCTGTAAACTCGGAGGCGAGCTGTGGGCTGTAGAGATACCTGTGAGGACTGTCACAGTTTTCCTTTTAATGATCAATTAATCAATTAATCCTTAAATTAAAGTAGGAAATATTATCACATAATCCCAGAATTACAGTTGTCCCTGGACATCCTTGGGGAGTTGGATCCAGGACCCCCTGAACATGCCCAAATCTGAAAATGCTCAAGTATTGGATATAAGATGGTGGTATTTACATATAACTTTCACACACTTCCTTCCATATGCTTTAAATCCTCTCTAGATTACTTCCGATAGCTAATATAGTGTACATGCAAAACCTATGGTTATAGATGGCGGAGCATATTTGGTTTGTTCCTTGAGCTGTACCCTGGGTTCTGTTATTCCCTGAGCGGAGATTCCCCGAGAAGGTGAGGCATGGGGCTCTTCTCAAGGAACATCAGTTTAAACTTCTAACTTACAATGTTCATTCCATGAGTGAGAATTTAGTTTGTCATAGACTTGGGGCAGGGCTTGATTTGGATCCTTCCAGCTGCTATTTTAAAATCTATTCCCTGGCCTCCATCTTTACCTGATTTCACCAGAGTGCTGTCTCTCAGAGTAGCCTGGCACCCTGGGTGGGGGCTTTCCCAGAGTTTGATGCAATGGCATAGTCCAAGTTCTGAAGCTCCTAAGTGTGATGGGAACTGAGCAATTCCTTTTCTGTTTCCTGAACTGTAAACACCATAGGAGGAAGTGAGGGGAATGCTTCTCATTGGCGCCCACTTCCATACCCAGGTGCCTAGTCAAGTGAGGATTCCTTAGCAATCTGCAGAACAGGAATGGAATTCCTCTCCAGATTCCTTTAGAACAGAATGGATTGACCACGTTCTTGAAATCTCTTTAGCCATTGGTGCCTCTTGCTCACCGCCATAGAGGATGATGGCTGTTTTGGACTACAGCAACTCTCTTAAACACAATATGTATCATGTTCTTCCTTCTTTATCTTTAACTCTGGTTTGCAGTTTAAAAATATGCCTCATCTGCATCTTGATCTCTCTGACACAAAGTTTAATTAAATAATTTAGTAACTAGTCCTTTTTTCATGTCATATTAATCATTGTTGGGGGGAAATACTTACCCTATTAAATCTTAACAAATTTAATTTTGTAGTTAAAGTCCCTGATGGTGGTTGGTATTGATATCTGCAAAGACACATTCAACAGGGAAGTGGCTGTGGTTGGATTTGTGGCCAGCCTTAATCCTAGAATCACCAGGTACTTTTAAAACTACGCTGACATATTCTTCAGTTACATTGTTAATGTAGTTTAACTATAGAACATATCAGCCCACTTCCATATTTTATATACAAAAACTTATGGTCACAAATTATATATAAAATTATATATAAAAATATGGTTGAAAATATTGGAGTAATATGTAACCTCATTTAAATATATTTACACATTTATTAGGACAAACTGATGTTTGTATTCTGGTCATTTTCTCAAAATTATAGATGTGTTGATATTCTTGTGCATGTTTTATTTTCTAAGCATCTGCACTATACCAGGCAGTGTAATAGGTACTCACCAGATATTATGGCAAGTATTTGAGCTTTGAAATCAGATTGCCTAAAGTTATATCCTGTTCTGCCACACATTGTCACTGAGGCATAGTTTAACTTTGCTGTTCTTTCCTATTATCTGTAAAATAGGGGTAATAATAGTGCCAATTTTGTAAGACATTTGTGGGAATTATGTAAGACAAAGTGCTCAGAACACTACCACCCAGAGTAAATGCTCAATGCATGCTTGATATCGTTAACACTTGAAGACACTTGATGGGGCTATGGTGTTAAAATTAGAGGCAAGATTAGGGATTACGACTTAAGCAGTGGCTAAAGTTCTCATTAAATCATAGTTTCTGGACATTCAACATTTGTAACTAAACAATATATATTTTGAGTTAGTAGCTGCTGATTGCTGTTTTCTTCCCAGCTTAATAGGTTTGATTGGCTCCATTAAATTTGTGGTCAGGTATCTATTTGGGACTGTGGGAAAGAGGAAATGTAACACCGTGCTTCTGTGTCACATAAGATCCCTGACGTACATGTCACTTCATCCATCAAGTTAATAAAGGACTTGTATTTTTTTTCTTTATACATTTAGGATTTATATTTGTGAGGAATGAAGTAGGGAGCCACCTTAGTGTTTTTCCTTAAGTAGTTACCATTTGTGAGAAAATTTCCTTTCGGTTTTCCCTTAGCTCTATTGAGGTATCATTGACAAGCAAAAATTGTATATATTTAAGGTGTACATCATGATTTGTTGATAAATGAATCAAATCAACAAATCCATCACCTCACGTGTGTGAGTGGGAGTGGTGAGAATACTTAAGATCTACTCTTAGCAAATTTGTTTCTGTTTATTTGTGTGTGGATATCCAGTTTTCCTCATATCACTTATTGAAGATAATTTCTTTCCCCATTTTGTGTTCCTGATGCTTTTGTTAAAAAATTAGTTGACCTTATGTGCATGAGTTTACTTATGGAGTTTCTATTCTGTTTCATTGGTCTTTCTATTATGGGCTTTCTATTCTGTTCTAAGTATAAAATACCTTGTTGTTAAATATAGTCAACATGCCTTAGGTGTACAGAATTTACTCATCTCACAGATGGGAGGCTTGTATTTTTGACAAGTGTCTCCTCATTTTCTCTATCCCCAGCACCAAGAAATGCCCTCTACTCTCTGTGTCTGTAAATTGACTTTTTTAGATTCCACATATAAATGAGATCATGCAGTATTTATCTTTCTGTGTCTGGCTTATTTTTACTTAGCACAATGACTTCTAGGTATATCTGTGTTGTTGTAAGTGGCACGATTTCTTTCTTGTTTGAAGACTGAATAATATTCTTTTGAATGTTCATATTACAGTTTCTTTATTTGCTCCTCAACAGACACTCAAGTTGATTACACATCTTAATGAACATGGAGGGTAGCTATTGCTTTGAAATACAGATTCATTTTATTTGGCTAGATGTCCAGAAGTGTGATTGCTGGATTGTATGGTAGTTTTATTTTAATTTTTGGAAAAGCTTCCAAGCTGATTTCTATAAAGGTTGTATCAATTTTCATTCCCACAACAATGTATAAGAGTCCCCTTTTGTCTACATTCTTCCCAACATTTCCTCTCTTTTGAATTTCTGATAATAGTCATCCTAACTGGTGTGAGATGCTATCTCACTGTGGTTTTGATTTGCATTTCCCTGATGATTCATGATGTCACATGGCTATTTGGCCATTTCTGTGTCTTTGGAAACATGTTTATTCAGGTCCTTGGCCCATTTAAAAATTTGTGGTATATTTTCTTTTTTTTATTATTGAGTTGGATGGGTTCCTTATATGTTTTGTATATTAAGTTCTTATCAGATATGTGGTATGCATATATTTTTTCCCATTTTGTAAATTGCCTTTTCATTTTGTTGATTGTTTCCTTTGCTGTGCAGAAACTTTTTAGTTTGATGTATTCCCACTTGTTTACTGTTATCTATGCTTTTGGTATCATGTCCAAAAAAATCATTGCTGAGACCAGAGTCATAGATTTACCCCTTATGATGTAAGATGGATCAATTTTATTTATTTATTTTATTTGCTTCTCCTCCTCTTTCTTCCTTTTCTTTTGTTTATTTGCACATGGATATTCAGTATTCCCTATATAATTTATTAAAGATACTTTCTTTTCCCCATTGTGTTTTCTTGGTACTTTTGTCAAAGATTAGTTCACCACATATGCATGAGTTTACTTATGAGCTTTCTATTCTGTATGTCTGTTTTTATGCCAGTGCATTCTGTTTTGATACTATGGCCTTACAATGTATTTTGAAATCAATAAGTATGATGCTTCTACCTTTGATCTTTTGCTCAAAATTGCTTTGGCTATTTGGATTTCTTTTGTAGCTTTACACAAATTTTGAGATTGCTTTTCTATTTCTGTGAAAAATGCCAGTGGATTTTTGGTATGTTTGAAATTGTTCATAATAAACAGCTTTTCAAATGTGAAGAAAGAAAGAAAAAAAATGCTTTTGGAATTTTGATAGGAATTATACAGAGTCTGTGGATCACTTGAATAGTATGAACATCTTGACAATAATTTTTCAGTCTATAAGTATGGGATATCTTTCCATTTATTTGTGTCATCCTCAATTTCTTACCTCTTCGACTTATATTTTCCAGTATACAGATTTTTCATTTCCTTGGTTAAATTTATTTCTAAGAGTTTCATATTTTCGATGTTGTTATAAATAGATTTTTCCTTACTTTTTTTTTTAGAAAGTTCATTGCAGTGCATGGAAACACAACTGTTTTTTGTATGATAATTTTGTATCCTGAAATTTTACTGAATTTGTTTACTAGTTAATCTGTTAGATTTTTGGTAGAGTTCTTGGGTATTTCTGTAGATCAGGTCCTGTTATCTGCAAATAGGGGAAGTTTTGCTATTTTCTTTCTAGTTTGAATGACTTTTTAAATTTTCTTCTGTATAACCACCCTGGCTAGGATTTGCATTATTCTGCTGAATAGAAGTGGTGAGAGTGGGCATCTTTGTCTTGTTCCTGACCTCAGAGGAAAGGCTTTTTATTTTCACCATTAAAAGTGGTTTTCATAAATTTTTTTTTGCAATCCAAGCTCATATTTCCTTAGAGAGTCTTGATCTTCATGGATTTAATTTGGTCACCCTGACTTTATCAGGCTCAGAGTTACCACTGATAAAATGGAAAGACAATGGAGGGATAATTAAAGACATGTTTGAATGAAGAAAAAAATGGTTTTCATATATTTAGGTATCTATATTTAATTTGTTGAGAGTCTTTATCACTGAAAGACTGTTAAATCTTTTCATTTTTTGCATATATTGTGATGATCACTTCTTTCCTTTATTCTGTTAGTGTGGTATATACCATGTTTATTGATTTGTTTATGTTGAACCATCCTTGTATCCCAGGTATCTGATCCTTTTAATGTGCTATCATATTTGGTTTGACAATTTCTTGAGGATTTTTGTATCTATATCTTCAGGAATATTGATATATGCTTTAAAACATTGTTGTCTGATTTTGATATCAGGTAATGTTGGCCTCATAGGTTTAGAAATGTTCTCTTTTGTTCATATTTTTGGAAGAGTTTGAGAAAGATTATTCCTTAAGTGTTTTGTAGATTCACCAATAAAGCCATCAGGTTTGTGGCTCTTCTTTGCTGAGAGATTTTTCATTATTATTTTGGATTCAGTTTTCTTTCTCTTATTGGTATGTTCACATTTTCTATTTCTTCATGATTCAATCTTGGTAGGTTGAATGTGTCCAGGAATTTATTCATTTCTTATAGATTATCCAATAATTATTCACAGTAATGTGTATGATCCTTTGAGTTTATTTGATGTCAGTTGTAATGCCTCTGATTTCATTTACCTGAGTGTTTCTCTTTAGTCTATCTAAAGGTTTATCAATCTACCTTTTAAAAATGCCAACCATTTTGTTGATTATTTTTATCGTTTTTCCAGTCTCCATTTCTACTGCCATCATTTCCTTCCTTTCACTAACTTTGTTGGCCTTCGTTTTTTTGTTTTCCCACTTCCTTGAGGTGTACAGTTGGATTGTTTGCAGACTTCTTTCCTAAGGCAGGCACTTATCACTATACAGTTTCCTCTTAAAACTGCTTTTCCTGCATCACGTCAGTTTTGGTATAGTATTTCCACTTTCATTTGTCTCAGGATATACTTTGATTTCCTTTTTTATTTCTTTGACATATTAGTTGTTCAGGAATGTGCTGTCAGTTTTCTTATGGACGTCTAGTTTCATACTATTATGGTAAGAAAAGATGCTTGATATGATTTCAGCCCTCATAAATTTGTTAAAACTTGTTATGATTTGTCTTGAAGAATGTTTCATGTGTACTTGAGAAGAATATTATCCTGATGCTCTTGTATGGAATATTTGGTATGTCTGTTAGATCCATTTGTTCTAAAGTGTAATTGTAGTCCAATGTTATTTATTTATTTATTTAGGTACTAGAGATTGAACCCAAGGGTGCTTAATCACTGAGCCATACATCCCCTGCCCTTTTTATTATTTTGAGACAGGCTCTTGCCAAGTTGCTTAGGGCCTTGCTAAATTGCTGAGGCTGTCTTTGAACTTGTAATCCTCCTGCCTCAGTCTTCTATGCTGCTGGGATTTCAGGCGTTTGCCACCACACTGGCTCCAATGTTGTTTTTATTGATTTTTCCATCTAATGAAAGTGTGGGTATTGAATTCCTCTATTATTTTCATATTGCTGTCTATTTATCCCTTCAGATCTGTTAATATTTGCTTTATATATTTAGATGCTCTTGTGTTAGGTGCATATATATTTACATATATATTGGTTTGTGCTTTTGTTAAATTGGACTATCATTATATAATTACTTTCTTTGTGTCTTGTGAGTTTTTTGACAAAAGCCCATTTTGTTTGATATAAGTATAGCTACCCTGGCTCTTTTATCCATTTAGCCATTCTCTTTTGGTTGGAGAATTTAATCAATTTCCATTTTAAATAATTATTGATATACTATTGCCATTTTGTTTTGTTTTTGCAATTTTGTTGATTCTTTGTTTTTTTTATTCCTCTCTTTATGTTTTCCTTTGTGGTTTAATATGTTTTGATTCATTTTTTCTTTCTCTTTTCTGTGAGTAATAAGGGTTTTGATTTGTGGTTACTATGAGACTTAGACAAAACATTTTATAGTTTTTAAAGCTGATAGCAACTCAACTTCCATATATAACATACAAAAACATTTTACTTCCTCTCTACACATTTTTAGTTTTTAATATCACAATTTACATTTTTTATGTTGGGTATTTATTAATATTATTGTAGCTATAGCTATTTTTTTAACCTTTAACCTTATTTTTGGGTTAAAAGTGATTTATATATGTCCATATTAGAGTACTCTGAATTTGACTATATATTTACCATTATCATTGAGTTTTATACTTACATTTTATGTTACTTAATTAACAAAACATAAAGAATGAAGAAAGCTTATGGAGTTTACAGAAAATCATTTAAGCTAGAACTTTTGTATTTCTTATTAGGTAGATCCAGTGGTCATAAACTCCCTTAGCTTTTGTTTGTTTGGAAAAGATTTTATTTTTGAAGGATAGCTTTGCTAGGCAAATATTTCTAGTTCACCCCTGCCTAGCACTTTGAGTATATCATCTCGTTCTCTCCTGGCCTATAAAGTTTCTCTTGAGTTTGCTGATAGGGGTTCCTTTGTATGTGATAAGCCCATTTTTTCATTTTCAAATTCTCTTTGATTTTTGACAGTTTGATTGTAACATGTCTTGGTGTTGTCTTTTTTGGATTAAGCTGATCTGAGGACTTTTGACCTTTATGTGGCAGGATGTCCCTTTTTCTCCCCAGATCTGGGAAGTTTTCAGCAATTATTTTCTTAAATAAACTTTGTCACTTCTTTCTTCTCTTTTTGAAACTCTCATATCGAGAATATTAGCTCTCTGGATGATTTTCTGTAAACTCCATAAGCTTTCTTCATTCTTTATGTTTTAAAGTTTTTCTCCTATGAATTTTCTTTTTTCATCTAAAATTTCCTTTTCTTCCTCTGAGAAAACACCCTTTTACTGGAGCAATTCTGCTATCTATTGCATTCTTTATTTCATTTGTTGAATTAATCAGTTCTAGGCCAGCAGTTTGGTTCTTTTTGACAATTTTTCTCTTTTTGAAGTTAGTATTTTGTTTATGTATTATTTTTCTGATATCAAGTGGCCTGTGTTCTCTTGTAGCTCACTGGGCTCCCTTAAAACAACTATTTTGCCTTTCTTGTCAGGCAGTTTTTAGATCATTTCTTTGGAATTGGTTATTGGAATGTTATTTTAATCCTTCAGTGTGTCATATTTCCTTGATTTTTTTCATCTTCCTTGAAGTCTTACATTGCTGTCTTCACATTTGAAGAATTGGTCATCCACCCTAGACTTTACTGACATGCTTTGAGAGAAATGACTTCACTAGTGATTGTGAGGATCTCTTCCATCTTTTCTATTGGTGTGCCTGTCCTACACTTCTTGTTCCTTCTTAGGGAAGTTCTTAAAGATTGTATACCTTCTCTCAATCCCACAAAGCCATACCAAGTGCTGAGAGCTTCCCAATTGTCTTCCATAGCTGGTGCTCAGAAATTCTCATATTTGTGTGTATCTTCTTCCAATCCTATACAGTTAAGCTAGCTGGGAAGATGTCAGCCTTTATTGTATTTTCTCCAAATCTTGTAGACTTAGGCACTTATTCATACTATCTTGTAGGATGTGCTCAAGGGGCCAGACTTGGAGTAGAAGTGGCAAGGTGTGTATGGAGTATTTTGGGTGCTTCTAGGCCAGTTGAAGGTGGGGTATAGCAAGGTATCCCAAACATCTCATGGGTGGGCTTCCTGATGCAGCTAATGGAGCAATTAGTATGGTCTGAAGTCTCCTTTACCTGCTCCCAGACACTCTCAATCTCTCAATTCAGTGTTCTGGGTGAAGCAAGAAAGAAGAGGGACTTTTTGCAGCACCCTGCAAGGCTGGGGGCACAGGTGTACTATGCTATATTGTCTACTGGAAATTTTACTACAAACCTATAAAGTAGTAACTACCTTACTGCCTTGTAAATCTCCTTGTCACAGATAAGGAAACTAAGGTTTAGGTTCACAAAGCTAATGAATATACAAGGATTAGAATCTTAATGCTAACACTGTGCTTTAATTTTGCTTAATAAAAAACATATTCTGGGGAGAGGTTCTTTTTAATATAATCGTGACCACATAGCATATTTAAAATTAGGGTCATTGATTTTTACTCAAAGTGTCTATTTGTTTGTTTAAAATTAAGGCATGTTTAGAGCAAAATTTTGAAATTAAGCTTTACTTTTCTCTTTCGCTCACTGTAGGTGGTTTTCACGCTGCATCCTTCAGAAAACAACTGATATTGCAGATTGCTTAAAAGTCTTCATGACTGGTACTAAAAAGGTTACAATGTGGGTGGGCTTCAAGGACTGCTTGCTCAGACCCAAAGTAGATTCCATCCACATATTTTCATCAGAGCAGATAGGTAGAAGCAAACTCCCTAAGCCTGTCAGATTTCATGGAGTCAGAACTTTCCCAAAGCTCTATGCTGACTCATACAGGCGAACAGTCAGACTGTGCAGCATTTATATTTGTATGTGTGTGGTAAAGAAAAGCTGAGAGGGAGGAAAGTTTGTGGCTACTGGTGGTCCTGGTAAGCAGTGTGAAGGTCAAAAGAAACCTACCCTGTAGAGACTTTGGGCCTGGGGTAGAGATGCTAACAGATAAAGTGTGGCATAGCCGGAGAAGAAGGGGGAGGTGACAGATGAGGAAAGGTGCCCTCTTCACAGTGGAATGCAATGGAAAGACAAATCTAGGGTTTTGTTTCCTCACTGGCCATGGCCCAGGTCTAGCTCTGCTGTTCCACAACAATGTGACATGTACAAATCTTTGTTCCAGACTGCATTTTCCAATTGGTAAATTTTGGGGAGGTTGTAATTTTTTTTCCTAAAATATATATATAATCATATATCTAATATCATTATCAACATGATCCATGTTGATAATGATATTAGATATGTGATTATCTTCTAAAAAAATAAAATGAATTTTCTGGACAATAAACTCTTCTAAAAACAAATTGTGCAATATATACATGAAAAGAATTACTGCATCCTATTACTTTCTCTACACTGGAAAATTTCTTTTAGCAGATGTCATTAGATGTTTCTTTTGCATGTGAGTTACTGTGATTTCTATTCTAAGGCAAATTCTAGTTAGAGTGGGTGGGAATGTTTTCAGAAATCCTATCATCAGTTAGAGTTGGAATTGAATTGGTTGAGTCAGTTGAAGAAGTGTTTTTAGCAGAAGAGCCAAGTCCTTATGTTTTCATGTTTATTCTCATTAGGGAAGAAAATGATATAAACTCATCTAGCCTGTTTCTATTGAGAGGATTTAAAGACTTGAAGAAACTAATTAGCATTAATTTGGTTTTAGTAATATCTGTGTGTATCATGAATCAAATGTTGATTTGTTGCACAAATATTGAAATTTAGTTAAAGAAATATGGTAAATTTAAGAATGTATTATGCCGTAGAAACTATTAAGATGTTTCAGAGAGCAGAGATGAAGGAAGGCCTCTGAGGTTATTCATTTTTACATTATGGCAAATGCAACCCAAATTAGGTATGACCCTATTTTACAATGGTCTGAAATAGCCAAGTTATTTAAACAGTAAATTACATGTAAATATATGTGTTGATACTGGACATGTCATTCTTTTCTTACTAACACCAAATTCTGCAGGAGCACTCAACAAGTGGTACAAGCACAACCACAGCTTGCCCGCCCGCATAATTGTGTATCGTGATGGTGTAGGGGATGGTCAGCTGAAAACCATTGTTGAATATGAAGTCCCGCAGTTGCTAAGCAGTGTAACAGAATCCAGCTCAAATATCAGGTATTATATGGTCGTTCTTTTCTCTAACACTCCCAATAATAGCACATTCAGCTGCAGCTATTTGACATGAGGTATGCAAACATAACTTTAACTTTTTTTTTTCTGCATTTATGCATCATGTCAGTTTGGCTGATGAATCTTCCCTTGATTGGAGGGGAGTCATGGTGGTCTAACATACATAGTCAGGTGGTGTAAGCTTTGGGGTCCCAGGTGGGTCACTTGGAGGAAGGCAGGTATTCTTTAGAGTAGCTGGCACGAACTCAGCAGGAAGCCCACAGGACTGATGGCCAGTGAAGATATTATACATATTAATATATCATGGAAAAAAATAATTCCTGGTTTTAAATTTGAGGCCCAGATCAACACACAGAGCTGATGCGTCTGAATTCCAGGCACTAATGTGCAGTTGAGGTAGTGAGAGGGATGTGAGTATCATGAAAACTGAACCACATGTGGAAATCAGACCATCTTGGACATGAAGCATCTTGCTGCTTGTTGCTTTTTTAGATTTGGTATTTCGGTACGAAATTTTCTTCAGTGATTATGTGAAGTGGCAACTCAATAAAAATATTAGAAATGGAAAATGAGGGAGGACAGTAATCTCAAGTTGGCATCTTAGAATATTTGGAAAGCATCTTATTTCAGTGAAGCACATAGAACTCTCCCATATAATTTCACCATCATTCCCATCAACCAGAGCTTCTTGGCCTCAAATCACAAAGGAGCTGAGTCTTGATCTCATCGAGTTAGTATTTAGAGAGAATGGAGAGCCTCATAGGTTGGTGGCAATGTCACTTGCAGCCAAACTCTTAGAGTCAAAATCTCTCTTCCCACTGACCACAGGTGAATGTATCTCAGGCAGATGATTAGAAATTAAAGAAAATATGTAATCGAGAGAGACAGGGGTAAATTTAGCAATTGATGAGGGGTTACTTTTCTTTCTCTATAGTATCAACTTTTTCAAAGTCCATTACTGAAAACATTCATCATAATTTTTTAAATAATTAAAATGCTTAAAATAAAAATGATCTTTGCATCTCAGAGTTTCTTCCATAATGGTGGATATTTGGTTTTGGCTTTGACATTAACATTTGGCCATTCAGCATTTCCAGAATATAAATTTGATCTGTCCATCCATCTACCTAGTGAGTGTTACAGAATTCAGAACAGATGATTTGAGAAGAAAACTAAGTGATTTTTCTTTTGCTACTCAGATAAATTTGAGAGAAAGAGTGAAGGTGAAAATAGAGTGGTGCTTGCTAATGGAAAAAAGAAAAACTTGTCTCCTTGGATAATACTGGAACATCTTCTCTCAAAATGCAGTTCAAGTTCGGTGTCCTGTGAATCATTCCTCCCATTGTCTTAAGTGATATAAATGAGGCAGATGACTTGGCATGGTGCACTTTTGCAACATAGAAGGACAATCCCTAGCTTAAAGATTGTATGTCTCTCTAAGGAACGGATTATGGGTGATTTTACTTTCTCTGTTTTGCAGTGTTTTTTTTTCTAGTGAAATTCTTTATTTCAATTTAAAAGATAAAACTACAACAAAAACCCAAACTGCAAAGCTGAATGGATTGGTTTTAGTTGACTTCTTCTTATTTTTTTCCTCTGTGGTTCCAAGCTGCAGACTGTCAGTGATTGTGGTGAGAAAGAAATGCATGCCACGATTCTTCACAGAAATGAACCATACTGTCCAGAACCCCCCCTTGGGCACTATTGTGGATGCAGAAGCAACACGTCCAAAGTGGTGAGTGCTACTGGAGATCAGTTTTCAACCAGCATTTGCTGCATCTTGTTTAGGTTTGGCCTTAACCCAAGTGACTTCTTTCCCATACCCATTTCCACATTCCTCTCCAGGTATGACTTTTATTTGATCAGTCAGACTGCCTGTCGGGGAACTGTCAGTCCCACCTACTACAATGTCATCTATGATGACAATTGCTTGAAGCCTGACCACATGCAGAGACTAACATTCAAACTGTGCCATATGTACTACAATTGGCAGGTGAGTGGAAGCTGCTTACTGATGTAAATATGGTACTCAAGATGTCCACATGGGAATTGTACCCAGTTCTCCTCTATATTCCTAGGCAAAAAAAAAAAAAAATATGACTTTTCACAAGATGAGATGAATGTGTGACTCTTTAAGTCCACAGTGGGAGGAACCCAGTGTGTCATAGAAGCAAAATAGTAATAACTATTAATAGACACAATAAATTAGAGGACTTTATTATATACATCATCTTAGGCAGGCTTAGGAAGAAATCAAGGTTTTCTTAATTCAGTGTTATAGATGAGGAGGTTGAAACCAGCACATATGTCCCTGGTGGGCAAGTGCTAACAGGCATGTCTATCCTGTGTACTGAGCATTAGTCCAAGAACTGCTCTCAAAGTCCAAAGCCAAGGTTTGCTCTAAGCCCCTTGAGTTAAGAGGTCAAAGGAAACTCAGATCAGGCCTGAGTGCAGTGTCTCCCAGTACCCAGCACCGTGAAGCCTTCACCCTACCTTGCCAGGAAGCTTCAGTTTTGAGTGAGTGAGGCTGCCTATTGTCAGTTAAAATTGTTTATCTAGAGACACATTCTTTTGTCTGTATAACCAATAGTTGGAAAAACTCAGAAGAAAAAATCATGATGAAGAGCAAATCATCCTCTTAATTATGATCACTATGTTTTTCTCCTCAGGGCTTAATCAGTATCCCAGCACCATGTCAGTATGCACACAAACTGACCTTTCTGGTGGCACAAAGCATCCATAAGGAACCAAACTTGGAATTAGCCAATTCTCTCTTCTACCTGTGATGACACTAACCTTGGTGTCACTACCCGACGAATCCAAGAAGTTGTTGGTATACTTTGTCCAGATCTGCCAAAGCTGGAGACTGTCACTGAGGAAAGGAATCAAGCTTAGTTACTTCTGGGAGAACCCATAAAATATCTTAATCTAAAACAGTCAAAAAGAAATGTGTGTTATTTAATGTTTAAAAAGTTATATGCTAGAGAAAGTTCTCATCGTGGTCCATGGAACTAAAGTACACCGTCTCCTAATAGAATCCTACAAAGTTAAAGATCTTTTCAGAAAATGTGTGTGCATGATATTTTGATGATAGATAAATAGTGTCTAATCCCCTTTCAAAGTTCATAGAGGTTTCCTTAAATAATGTTGTGGAGTGTTTTGTAGAGTGTTTTTTAAATAATTATGAGAAAATAAAGTTCAGAGCATCACACATGCATTTGTTATTTGAATCTTTAAGTTGGCATTACATGTGAACCTCTTTATTTAGTATTTTTAGCAAAGGTTCTTACCCACTAGACCACAGCTCCATCAGCTTTGAGTTGTAGTTATGAAATTGAACTTACCACTTGCTCTTATGACAGGACAGTATTTCACTTACTAGCAGCCACTCTCACTGATGACCTTGCTTCTAATCAGAGAAAGCAGGCGACCTTCCCTCTTCTTTCTGCATCATCAGTTTTTCCCCCACTAACACTTCTCCATTGGCATTATGAATTTATTTCTCCCATCTCAAAAAGGAAACCATTTCTCTCTCCAGCTATCACTCCATTTTTGTCCATGTTTACAGAAAACCATCTTAAAAGAATAAGAGAATAGTCTGTGCTTCATGTATCCAATTCCTTACTCCAATTAGAATGTCACTCTTTAGAATTTCACTGCTATATAAAAATTGCTTTGGTTAAGATTACTAATGGCTTTTGCTTTGCTAAATAAGATGGTCACTCTCAGTCCTTGTCATACCTATTGTGGCATTGGGCCCCAAAGATCATTTCTCCATCTGAAACACTCTTCCCCAGCCCCCTGGTGTAATATCCTTCCTGGTTCCTCTCATTCTCAGCCTCCTTTTCTTGTCTCTCCTCACCTTCTCACCCTTTCCAGGTTGAAATGAGAAGGTGGCTACATGCAAAAGATATTTTGATAAAGGAAAGATGAGAGTTGCAGATTCTGCTTATCAAGGAAAGGTTCTGTGGAAAGCTGCAGGGAGGGGCAGGAGGGAGATGACAGGTTGGGTTGAGGGACAAGGAGGAGCTGATCCCTGGAGAAGCTGATGCCTGGAGCGGCACAAGCACAGAGGTCATATCATTGCACTGCAAACATTCTTTCCTGTTTTAAGAGTTTTGTCCAGACCTGGTAGAAATGCACCCAGTATGGGTCCACTCCAGTAATAGTAATGACAACCTTTGGAGTGGCATGAGGCTGGGGGAGCTTGATAGGTTCCAGGCACAGTGCCAACCACTTTACATACACATTTAATATTACTTAAACTATAAGAAATAGGCTAGAATGACCATTTCACTGATGATAAAAATAAGGATTAAAGATACCACCAAAAACTCACCAAAGCTTATGAGATTAATAAATTGTGGATCCAGAATTTGTTGTCATATTTGTTTGGCAGTGAAAACCTGTGAGATCAATCACAATACTCTACTGCCTTAATAAAAGGTACTATAAGATTTTAGATGTTTCTCCCAGGATTCTTTTATAAGGCAGTGCCTTAGATGCTGAAACTGGCATTTATAGCCAGTTTGTGGAGGCAAGTCACTGCACCCATCCCTGGTGGTGGTTTTTGCTTTTTTGCTCATGTTGTTTTCTTTCTTCAAAGTATAGGGCTGATGTGGGGCCCCACTGCCAAGCAGCTGGCTTGTATAAACTTACATGAAGCATATTGACTGGGCAATGCAAAGGTCTGCCGAGCTCCCTTCTCTCTACCTATCAAGTACTACCCAAGATAATGATTCCTTACCAAGTTGTCCCACTAGGGGGCACTCTAGGACTGTCCTATGAGCAAAGTCCTTCACCTTCACTATATGATGCAACAAATGTTAGAAAAATAAGTCACCTTCAAGTACACTGCCAAAGGACAACATGGGGCTAAGATATCTTCATTTGAGCTCAGGTTCAGGTTGCAAAAAAAAAAAAAAAGCATTTAATGTTGAATGTGACAACTTTCCTCTGGGACTCAGTTACCCAGTCTGTAATATGAGCAGGGGTGCTCAAACTTGAGCACTTTAGAAAGCTTTTTAAAAAATTACATGCTTGGGCCCACCCCAGAAACAGTAATTGAGTTGATCTGGGATAAAGCCTGATCATCTGAATGCTTTTGAGGTTTTCCAGATGGTTCTGATATGAGTTGAAGACTATGGGTCGAGATGGTATCTGAGATCCATTTCAGCTTTCAAGTGATTGCCGCCTATCACCTACATTAGCTAGTTTTCTTTTTAAAGTTACTAAGGACAAAGAGAAGACGAAACATGTGCCAAACTTCAAGGCAGTGTAGATTCTGAATCCTAAAATCACCACCTAGTAACCATGAGATCCTGGGAAAGTTACTTAACCACACTGAGCTTTAGTGTGTCTACTTATAAAAAGTTATAACAATGTCCACATTGTAATGTTGTAAGGACTAGAATGTCAGACCTAAAGTATCCAGCTTTAATAAAGATGCCATAGTATTATACCTGAGGAGAAGGAAAAAAAATGACATGATTTAGTCAACAAATACAAATGCCTGCACATTGTATGCTGGGCGCTGTACTAGATTCTGAATTCTGCAGTTCTGTTTAAGGAGAAGCTTAACAGTTTCTCTACAGTCTACAAGTTTTTGAAGAAAATTTTTTAGTCTTGCTTTTATTTTGTGGGGTAGGGAGAAGACTCTGGAAGAAAGCATACTTTCAATACATTTCTGTGGCTGCTGTGCTGGTATACCAATCACATCTTCCTTTAAAAGAATCTTCTCAAGGAGCAGGGTTGGCTGACAGCCTTTTGGGATCCACTGCAGGGTGATGTTGAGACCATGCTCTTTCTAGGCTGCTCTCAGCTCCGCTGAGCACAGCAAAGGAAACAGATGAAGGCCATTTCTGCCCAGTGTGAGCTGCTCTCAGGCCGCCTTTACCAGGGGCTCCTCTGACTTGGTCAAAGCTTTCTCAGTGCTGCACTGTAGTTTCAGGCTCTTACTACCAATTCTCCTTCCTTCCCTCTCTCCTTTCTTCAATGTCATATTGGCATTGAGGTCTGAAGACTCTCCTTATTTAATCCTGCTTCCTTTCGTCTACATCTTTCACAGGAGTTTTTCCCCAGTGAATATCTTGAAAAATCTAATTTTGTTGTGACATCTGCTTCTTTGGGAAACCAAACTCACACAATCACTATCACCATTAAATCAATCTGTAGTTTTTATTAAAAATCAGTCTATTTTTAGCCTTAAAATCTCCATCAATCAAAACATGGAATTTAAAAAGAAAATCATTTACCTTGAGATGTTATAACCTTTTAAATGTTCAGTTTCTAGTCAGGGCTTTCCTATGGGAAATTTGCTCTTAAACCTTTCTAACAGACTTAAAGGTCTCAGACTTGAAATGTAAACTACTCTGAGAGGAGTTGTCAGATGTTTTGAATTTCGTTGCTCAAATTAACACTCTCATTTGACCTGATGTTCACACTGGCCAAGAATAATCCAACAGTTCCTACTGGAAAGATGGGTAGGCATGAAGAGAACTGAGCTAAGGTACTTCTAATGTATTGGAAAAGTTTTTTCATCATTGATTTAAAATTATAAAAAATAATAGATCTACATTATGGACTATTTGGAAAGTATAAAAAAGTATACAGAGGTAGAACAAACTCACCAATACAGCTACTACCAAGTATAGACCGTCAGCATTTCGATAGATACTCTTCTTCTAGTCCTTTGGTGATACTGTTAGAACGCCTGTGTTTATCAGGAATGTTTGCAGGTGAAGAGATTGGATTCTGCGAGTGCTAACCTCATCAGTCCATCTTCATTCATGTGCTCTGACTGGGTGGCAATGGTAGGCAGGTGGGGTGTCACTGGGTACGTGCCCTGGAGGGGTTCATCCTCCCTGCACCTCCTTCTCCTGTCTCTCCACTTACCCAGCTGCCACAAATGGAGCAGCCTTCCTCCATCTCTCCCCTCTACCATGATATACTGCCTCATCTTGGCTCCAGAGCAACAGTTTTGGTGACTAGACTAGGAGTGCTAAGACTCTGGAACTGTGAGCCAAAATAAATCTTCTTTCCTCTAAGTTGTTCTTTCAGGTATTTTAGTTACCTCAATGAAAAGCCGATTAACACAAGTACTACATATCTATATTTATAATCTGTCTCCCTCTCTCTATATGTGAGTATGTGTGTATACACACAATATATAATTTCACGTACTTCATTTTTCACATGATTATGGTATGAGTATTTTCCTATTTTTATCATAAAATTTTCATAAGCATAATTTTAATGACTGAATGATATTTTACTGTGCAGATGTAACAAATTACTTTCTCTATTGTACCTCTAGATTGTTCCTATTTTTTCTTGGCTGTAAAAATATGGCATAAGTTTTTCTTTCCAAGTATTTGGAATTGGTTCCTTGGGGTAGATTCCTAAAAGTGAAATTGCTGAATCAAAAAGTTATAATACTTTTAAGGTGCTAGTATAGTAACATCTACTAAACTAGCAAAACTTTTTTCTTCCTTGAGAATATGCAAAGCTTGCTCTGGTACCACTTGGAAAAGCACAATTTTTTTTTTTAATTAACAAAATGTCTCTTTGTGCTTTTCCAAGTGGTACCAGAGCAAACTTTGCATATTCTCAAGGAATAAAAATGTTTTGCTAGTATAGTAGATGTTACTTTTATGTTTTTATTTCTATTTTTTATTATTAGGAAAAAAAATAATTTGAAAATGCTTATTAGCCATTTGTGTTTTTGTTTGTGTTTTTATCATCTACTTAAAGAGGGCTTTATATTTTCAAGATAGTCACCCTTTGTCATCCATATATTCCTCAATTACTACATGCTTTTAAATTTTGTTGTATTTTAAGCTACACACATTTACAGTTTATATATTTAAATTGTCACTATTTTCTTAAGATTATGAAGGCTAAGCTGGAATTTAAAACCTTGAAAATCTTTCTCCATTTAGAGATTTGAGAAATATTTCTGTTGTTGGAATTTGATCTCTAAATCCATCAATACTGTATTTTACTATAAAATAAAGTTGTAAGCTCTTTTTATGGAGAGGACTTGGTGGATTAAAAAATAATAATCAAGTAGAAATCCTAAAAAAATAGGATCAATGAAGTAAAAAAAAAATAGGATCAATGAAGTAAAAATTTCTAAGCAGTAGACTAAAAACCAAAGAATAGAAAATTCGTAAATTGAAGGACGGGCTACAGGAAGTAACTTAGAATGACGTTC